GACAATCAACCAATGTGTCCGGGAAGGAATTGTCGGTATAGACCTATACCAATGGATTTTGTCCATCGGTATAAGGTGTAGACACCTATACCGACGAATTTCTAAACCATCGATGTACATCATAAGTATGGAGTATGGCGTATATTGCTATACCAACAGATTGTGCACATTGGTATAGGGTCAAGGTATACCAACAGAGGTAGTCCGTCGGTATAGGTTCAGGCTATACCAACAAAGCTAGTCTGTCGGTATAGGTTCAGGATATACCAACGGATATAGTCCGGCAGTATAGGTGTTTTTTTTTAATATTTCCCTACAATTCTATTTGCCTAATATGTCCAACACAAAAAGAACACCTGCACATCAAAAAATGTTTTCTCTAGATCCTGTTCAACCAAAATGGCCAATATAAAAAGAACTATGTTTTTAACATCGTCCAAGCAATAGTTGGAGTGGTATTTAAATATGTGCTTGGAACAATGAAGAAAGAAAGAAAGAAAAGTTTGAGTTTATATTGGAACAATGAAGAAGATACAAAGGCAATTCAACTTGACAACTTTTAATATTTTGATACCCTCGATGTACTTTGGGTTTATATTGGCTGGTATTTAAATATGTGCATATATACACATACCCATATGCTCACAGATTTTACAACACTAAAGTTCTTATTTGCAATACCTATCTTATGATGTGTTCAATATTGTATCTTCATGGACATGCAAAGATAGAGACTTTCATGATGGACAGTTCATTTCTGACATCAAGACCACATGCCTCCAAAATCATACAGGTAGACCTTTTCACACCACTGAATCCTAAAGATTCAGTACCATTGAACACTTTCCTCAATTTATACAATATACCACCTATGATACCAAAACCTGTAGAGAATTAAAAGAATTCCTTATTTTGTTTTTCTCCTGTTCGTCAATCTAGCCATGACAAAGACCTCCTTAAAGCTAGTAGTTAAATTTCTCTAATCTGACAGACACTACCATGTAAATGAAGAAAAGCCAAGCAACATTCTTGAAGAGCTTGTTGGTATAATCTTGCTAAGCATGCTTACCTAAAAGATGCAGTGGTTTGTAATGCTGCTAAAAATAGAAACATCCTGTCCTTCGGCCAGAGGCTATTATTGCATTTATCCACACCGTCCAATCTCTAGGAATAGCCACCACAGTATAATACCACACCATCCGGCTGATCCAAGCTATCCAAACATTGAATGCATGCTTTCAAACGGTTAAAGAAACAAATAAAAGGAGGAAAAGGAATAAGAGATCTACCCATATACACTGGTCATCCAAAAGGATGAGACTGCTAGATGGTTAGAGTGACCATGTTATTGATGTGATTACTCTACCTGCAACAGCTAATTAATGAAATAACTCCTCATTTGGACCTTTCTAGAGCAATGAAAAGTTCCACAACTTTCTGTGCTTTTATTTTGCCTTACCACTTTACCAGTTAGGTTTTTATTCTTTAGTATTGGAGAATCTAAAGAGAGTTATTTCCCACAAGGATATAACTGAATTAGAACACTTATACATTAAAAAACTAAACAACATGCAAAAGATTAACAAAAAATAACCTAAATTTTCATCGAAACAAAATAACTATGTTTTTAACATCGTCCAAGCATTAGTTGGATAAACCAACAACAGTTGGGTAAACCAGCAAAAAGCATGTTCCTTAGATAGTGAAAGCAAGCAACTATTCTTGAAACACCTACAGTAAAATAAAATATTACAAAACAAATAAAGTCAAATAATTATTATAAATATTACCGCTTTGATTTCCATGAGGATGATGACTTGAAGTCGAAGAGTTTCGATGCCCATTTGGTGAGACATCTAGAGTAGTAGCAGCATTTGGATCCTATTAAATTAGAGAAAATTTGATTAGTACAATAATATTCTATATATATATATCACTTTAAAATTTTGAATATAAATATATCATACCTCTCTATTTGTGATTTGGTTTACAAGACTCATGATATCACTAAGTTGCTCATCAGGAAATCGTCTCTGAAATATAGATATAAAACCATTCACCAAACCCTCTAAGTTTTGAACTTTTTCCTGCAAAGCTTGATCGTGTTGTTGGGATGATGAAACTCCACTACCATTAGAAGTTAGGATCTTTCCCATACAACGAACACGTCCTTTCTTATCAGGTCCTTTAACATGAGAAAGCACATCATTCTTCCAAGAGGATCCTTGCTGCAATATTTGCGAACTCTGTGAAGTGCTTTCATCATTTAAGCACTTTTTCAAATTTTCCTGAATTTTATGCATAAGTGGAGCATTAATGGTCATATAGAGTAATGGTTCATTTCAGTATCATAAATCATCAAATAAAATAACCAGAAAAATAAATACACAATGTTTATGTGGTTTATTTCGGTATCATAAATCTACTGGGGAGAGAGTAGCATAAATCCATTAGCAGAAAAATGGGAATAAGATGAAAGAAGGCAGATCTAGGGGCTCGGATTATTGTTGATCATTTTGGTGTGGTCAAGCCAGAAAGAGGTTGATCATTTTTCATTTGAACCATGCATTTTTTTTTTCTTATGTTGCCATCTTTTCTAATGCTAAATGCTACAAACTTTGGGAAATTTTCAAGTGTGGAGAAATCAACCATTCAGCCATTAAGGCTCTAAACTTTAAGGCTTTTCAGTACTAAATCCACATGAAGTTGAAGGCTCTTATGAACTTATGGGCTATTGTCAAACCAGAGGTTGAATGTTGCTGCTCAAGCCTGGTTAAACACTTGAGCCAGGACGTTCCATCAATTGACCTAAATGAGGTTCTGGGGCCACTACCGCAGATGACTGGAAGTGCCTAGCTTAATCTGTTCCACATAAATGCTATACTATTATGATTATGTGATTTTGTTATTGTTAGAATAATTGGTTGTGATAATACTCAGAAAATTATTTATCTTGAAAAATTTAGAAAATTAAATTTCCAGCAATTTTTAGTATTTATTAGGATACTTTAATTTAGTGATTTCCATAAATTAATTTCAATGGTTTTGGTATTTTAATTTAGTGAAAGTTTACTTTTGGAATATTCTAATTTACCAAAATTTTTTATATTTTTAGTAACTAATTTTTGTACAAAGGATTTTTAAGATGCTCAAGTTTTCTTTCTCGCTTTTATTTTTCTTGTTCTGCAAAAATCAATAAATAGAGATTTTTTTATTAATTTAGTTTTAAACATCCCCTCCAAAATGTCAACTGGTTAGTTGGTAAGGTCTCCTGTTTGTTGTAGTAGGGGCTTAGGATCAAATCCCACTTACACTAAGGTTGTAGGGTTTTATGAGTTTGGGGGATGACTCCCCCTAGTTAACCCCATGGAGCAACAATTTTTAAGCCTTCCCTATAATTTGACCTCTAATAAAAATTCCTTTGACATCTTTCTGATTATCAACTAAGAAAATTAATCAACTTTCTGAAATGCAGAGGATCCCACTAATACTTTATATATAAGAGACATAGGCCCAAAACCCAAGCTTAGTTGGCCTAAGTTATAGTCCTTACCATAAGTGCAAAGCCAGGCTCTGCCTATAATAATCCCTATACTCTATTCAACCCAACAACCAACCCACATGCCATGGCCTAACTTCCCCCTGCCCCTCTGTAAATCTGCAATTAACAAGGCAAAACCAAGGAGTCCCATCTTATAAAAAAAGAAAAAATATATAAAACGCCAAGTGAAAAATTAAATAAAAATATTAGCATTTTTTGGTATTTAAAATCATGTATCAGATTTTATTTTAATTGTTAGCATTTTTATTATGACTGTTATGAACGATAGGATCTATAATCAAGTAATCATATTAGCTTTTGACCCCCTAATCCCGACTCTACCCTTGGTTCCCTATAATGTGTACCGTGTAATATGAAAAGGAAAGAAAGAAAAGTGCATATTAATTTAATCTAGATACAAGCATTTATACTTAAAATATTACTAACTTGGGTCGTAATAAATTGAATTAAATGGAAAAATATTTAATCTAAAATGGATCTAATTCAGACAAACAGAGACCATTTACTAGAGCTGTAAATGGTCTGAATAAAATTTGGTATTGGATCAAATATCAATCCACTCCTGATCCGATATAAACTGATTCCCTTGATTTTTATTTTTTGGTATTCGGTGCTATGCATCACAAATAGCCTCCCCTTGACCCCTTTGAGCCACCTCTCAGTTGGTTGTGTTTAGTAGTGGTAAAGCTAATTTGAATGTCGTGTTTTCATTTAGATTGTCATATGTTCAAGTTTCACACAATTAATTTTCAAAATTTTTGTTCATGAAATACAATATTAGTCATTTTTAATTTATTTTATTTTTAGTCCAATTTATTTATACCACTCAATATCCTATTGCAGTTTGATTCGATCTATGGAGTGGTTAAGGCCCAATTTGAGAAGGAATTTAAACAAATTAAATTTGTATCTAACCTATAACCCATTCGATTCAAACAGTTTGCAGCCGTACTATTTAGAATCTTGTCAAAGGAGGGGGTCCATGGTAGAAGAGCCTTTATTAGTAACATTTTTTTTTTAATTCTCTTCAATAAGCAATTGTTAATGTTGTCGCTGAGAAATATTTGGCTCCTACCTGGTCGGAGGACGTGTCCAGCCAAATACATTTTACACATTGATGTTATTAATATTAGGGTTTCACGTTAAGGTTTAGGGGTTTAAGGTTTAAAGTTAAGGTTTAGGGGTTTAAGTTTTAAAGTTAAGGTTTAGGGTTTGGACTTGAATTCATCCAACCACAATAGGAGGCTAGGAGCGAAGTTCGTTGTTGCAATGTCTTGCATGCAAATTGGCAATGTCAACCCTGGTTGATGAGCAAGTTCATGTGCCAGTTTTTCTGTGAAAAAGCTAAAGCACTCTGCTCTGGTGTAACCTCCAGGGAATTAATTCTCCTGTTCTAGACAACCCCAAGGATCAAGATGAATTTTGATGGCCGTAGCATTCCCAATTGGATCATCATGGTATTTAAAGGGAGTAACAATGAGCCATCTTCATCACAGAATGGAATGAAAAGGTATAAAGCCTTATTGTACATTGTTGATGCTGTATTACCTTTCTTTCATTCATAAAATAATCTCAAGTTACTGACAAAAAACCCAAAATCACTACAATCTGCCTTGTGGCAAAAATGACCACCCTCGGCTGCCTCAAAATTGGGGATGAATTGTAACTACTCTCTCTCTTTGAAGTATTCCAATAGGTAGGCCAGAATCTATCCAATGCTGTTCCTGTTTGCATTCCTATCAAACCTTGAGACTTGTATAATCAACATTCTCCTGCTTTCTTCCTTCTCCATCTCTGTACAGAAATCGTGTAAGACCTCAACTGCTTATATCTCTGCCTCAGATTCTCTTTGTCTCCGGTAAGCATAAATAGAACCAAAAACCGTTCTTCCCACCCTTCTAATCTTTCTACTTTTCTTGCTTGGACTTCCCTTTTTTTCCTTTGATGATAGTGGCTGTGATATGGGTAAAAGTGATAACCATCCCAAGGGCACCAAAGCTGCAAGAAACTGTAGTAAAATCCCCAAAGGCAGGCTTGAGTAATCACCAGATGTTACTCCAATGAGAGAAGCCAATCCAACACCCAAAAATCCACTAACAATGGATGATAAACAAAGGGCTGAAGCTAAGAAAGAAGTGAGTGATCCTTCACATCCAGCTGGGCATAAATTTGCAAACAAAACTGAGAAGGGTAGGAGCTTAAACTGAGCAACAATTTCTGCTAATCCTGAAAAGCACAAAACATAGGCCTCATTTGGAATGCCCAATCTAAGATTGATTTGTTTCACTAGGACAAGGTCCAGAAGAAGGGAGCTTGCATAAACAATCTGCACCATGCCAATCAATTTCCTAAAAGAAATTCTTTTCCAATATCTATCATAGAAAATAGTAGCCGATAGCAGCATCAATTGGCCAATAACTTTAGACATCCCAATTATTGAAGGGTCAAGCCCTAAGCATTGTGTTTGGTAGCAGAAGATGGCTCCTGACAGAATTGGAACTCCAGCAATGGAGGCTACAATCCAGGTAAGAGGGCCAGCAATGCGCTCTTCGCCTATTGCACTGATCAGACTAGAGAACTTTCTGTGTAGATCTTCTGAGACAGAATTTCTTATGATATGATGGTCTGATGGTTGTGGCAAGCTAAAAGCATCCTCGCTTGTTGTTGAAGAAATTGCAAGTTGAAGGGAAAGTAGTGCAGCAAACAAGAGAAATATCATCTTCGTTTTTTGTGTTTTCATTAGGAAAAAGCCTCCAATCAAGTTGCCCAAGATTCCCCCAGCAGCTAGAGCCTTGAATGCATAAGATTGGACTCCACTTACTCTGTGTCTTTGGCTGTACTCAGCAACAAGAGCTTCATTTGCAACTTCTGTGACTGAAGCTCCAAGGTTACTAAGCAGAATGCACACCATCAATATGGGAAGGGCTTCACCTGCGAGTGGAATTAGTGCCAGAGCCCCCCACGAAAGAATCTGCAAAAGCACTGCAGTTTTTTATCCACATCAGTAACTTTATACAAGACATTTGTCTACCATCCCTCTAAAGAGAAGACTAAATACTAATTGAATAAATGCTGACAGAATTCAGCCTCCAAGGTTCATGATTGTTTGCAGTTATAATCAACATATAAAAACCCACTAAAATAAAAATACAGATTTGCAAAAAATTGAAATCCCAAAATGAAAATTTCTTTCATTGTCAAGACAGAAAGACAAAATCTTGATATTTCTATCAACACAAAATTAAATTTAGCAACACTTGAAAGTAAGAATAAATTTCCTGATGCTACAACTTAAAATTAGTGCAGTGAATTTAAAATTTGTTGCAATGAATTCAGCTTCTATTGTTTTCCATCTGAAGGCACCATAAGGAGAAAGGGAAAAAAGGGCTCCCATTAACTTGATTAAGCTGAAGTCACATAGTTTATTGGACTTCAATGATGAAACGAACTAAGGAAAGAAAGGGACATCTTAAAAGCATATTTCATGAAAAGCATGAGACTTGAGAAGGCCGAAAAGGAATATTGTTTTTCAGCTTAATTCAAACTCTCCATACCAAGATTCCAAAATAACTGCTTACATACACTAGATATCACTGAATAAAGCCTTTAGTAAGAACTTCTTGAACAAGGAAGTACACACCCAGTTAATAAAGAAATCGTAGTACAGAGACATAGGATAAGAGAGGCAACAGACAAATTCAAAATAGAACTCAAGGGGTATATAAATATTAACATAATAAACCCAGACCCTCAATCATATTTGGGACCCTCTGGAAAATTTTCTTAATTCTTAATGAGAACTTGGTAAATTGTTACTTAAATCTGAAAGTACACAGATAAGGTGGCCAAGATTAAGCAAATAAAAGAAAAACACAGAAAAGAAAAAAGTACATAGGAATGATACAAAGAGATAGCACAAACCTCCAATGGAAATATAAGGTATTCTGTGAGCACCACCAATATAAACAGCATCTGAAAGGACCCCGTATAGAGGCTTGGCCACCATGGGTAGGTTGCCGGAGCTCTGTATAAGCTGCAATGTTGAAGGATGCAGCTTAAGAGTGTGCGCCATGTGGAAATTCATCGCCAGCCATGGAAAACACCTGAACCCTTGAACCCAATACCCAAATCCACACAGAGCCATCATCTGCTGCCTACCCACTTGAGAAGACTCTGTGTTCTTCTCATTTATCCTGTTGTTCCTGACGAGGACTTCCTCGGAAGTTATTAAGATGGGTTTTAGGAAATGGGTTCTCGGTTTTATTGGTTTATCCTCGTTGGTGCCAATAGGAGACGACGAAACTCTTGGGTTCCGACGATGAGAAGAACTCCAAACGGAATTGCAGCAAAGAAGAGACGGCTTTGGTGGTGGTCTCTGGATTGATTGAGTCGCCAAGATTGATGAGCTTCCGGAGGATTTCAAAGAGTAAATCATGGTTTAAGTCGAGATTCAATATCAAGCCTACTAAGAAAGAAATAAAACTATAGAGACAGAGGTTACCTTGCCGAATGCAGAATGGCCAACCCAGAAGGATATGAAGATAACTGAAAGCACCCACTACGGTTGTTCGGCGTGTTCAAACCTCGAAGAACAAGAAAGTATCCCTTTATTCGTTACGTGTCATGTTGATGTTTATTCAGGGAGAGAGAGACAGGGGAGAGAGGCAAGATGCTAACAGAGCCAGAGGGATCTAGAATATGTTACCAATAAATAAAACAGAGGGATCTAGAACACCGTAAAGGAGGTTATTCCATGACTCCATGGTGAAGAGAGGTGGGGTTACTCGGTTACTGTAGGTTTGTTATTGCGAGAGACGAGAGTTGGAAGCTAGCAACTAGAAAGTAGCAAGGTGACCACTAGACCTGATAGTCGTAAGGGTGTGGGACCCAGCAACCTATGATGGGGACCGACAGATCACAACAAAAGCAGGCAGAAACCGTCATATGACCTCAAATCTCCGGAATCCACTCAGACATCGCGAATTCATGATGTAACATCGTGATGGATCGTTCCATCACTGTGTCAGACCGACTCGGGATCTGCTACAACATCTCGTGGGTAGCAGATCGAGCTCGCCTTGGTCCGCTTATGATAAGTGCGGTTTCTGTTTGGGAAGACCAATTATTTATCTTTTTCGGAAACCTATCACCCGGCGAGTTCACATCTGCACACTACACAGCTCGCCCCACAAAGGCGCCTCACATACACATCTCAGCGTGTATGGAGAACATCTTCGGAGATTGGGAGATGTTCTTAATATAGGGTCAGGATATGATGTAGGGCGCCGATGTGATCTCGAAGCGGCAGCTTTTTGACTTTCCAAAGTGGACCCCACCCGGACAGCTCGTATTTAGTGGAAAATTCGAAAAGATCCCAAATATGTTGTAATTTTTTCAGCTCGGCCAAACCTTGCGTCTTTGGACGTCTCACATCACATCTCCGCCATGTATTGGAAATATCTCCCGATAATAGTATCTGATGATATCATCATCGAGAGATATTCGCAATGTATGGAGGAAATGTGACGTGGGATGTTGTGGGGGTGTAGATGTGAACTCGTGTCCTTTGCCCAAAAAATAAATAATTAAATAAAATAAAAAGCAAATAAATATGATAAATGGACTACAACCCTCCTCCTTGTTTACTAGTAGCCCCCCTTATAAACCGCATCGTGTTCATGAATTTGGCATCAATCTACGGGCAGGATTCAGTCTATCCCTAGAAATCTTAACTCCACCCTAGATGCTAAACTATAAAAACCCCAAAAATAAATAAAACAAGGATGATAGCGATAATTTGGTAATGTAAAATACTTAAAATCTTATCTGAATAATTTTTATCAATATTTTAAAAAATGACACAGAAATCGGAATAGTTCTAGCGATTGATTTCCGGGTTGACAATTCAACCATTCGGTCTGAATGGATGGTCCATTTTAATAAAAAAATTAAAAAAGTAAAAAATAATAAAAATAAAAACAGTAAAAAACTGTTGAACGGGTCGAATGATTCGATGATTTGGTTGCTCGAGTTACTGAGTTATTGACCAATTCAACGATTTTTTGCCAGGGACTAGGTTTGGGGTAAAATGGAACCGGTTGCCTAAACGACTCCTGGGCCAAACGATACGACTGTTCAGGTCAATGATGGTTCAAAAACTATAATTTTTATTAATGATTAATAATGATGATATAATGGAAACCTAATAAAGATGAATTTTGAATAATAAAACTCAATGAGAGAACTCTCTAGAGTTTTTGAAAAGGAATTCACATTTGGGTTCCATAGTGCACTGGGAATATTTCTTGTACTTGTTCTTGCGAGATGTTCCCAATTCAGGGTTGAGATGTGCAGTGGGGCGCCTATAAGACAGACTGTGTTGAGCGCCAATGTGATATCTTTTTCAAAAATGAGAGTGAATTTAAGAAAGGTTGAAATAAGTTATGAGAAGTATTAGATAATATCTCATAAACTAAAAGCCAAAAAAATGGATTTTTGGAAAAAGTTTCTTCTAATAGCTTCTTCAAATCGGTTCAGTAATAGACCTCAATCAAAGCTTCAGCCCTCTCAAACGAGTGATGAGATAACTCTTGTTAAGTGGTTTCTGTTTCGTCTCAGAAATATTGTTTTGTACTTGAGACAATCCTTCGTCAAGCGCAACCAGGAACACAAGCAAGATAACGATCTTCTATGGGAAAAAAAAAAAAAAGATAACGCTACATACCAGCTATAGGAATCAAGAATTTGATTTGGTTAGATATGCAAATTAGATCGGGCCAAATTCAAATTGAAGTATATCCGAATCCGATTTAATAATACAATTCTTAGATTCCATATAATCTGATCTTATAAACATCAATTCAAATCTAAATTCATTAAGGATGTTGTATATCTATTAAAATATGATTAAATTCAAGTTCTGAATCCATTTATACCCCTAAATTCAATGTGATCCCCAAAGGCCATACCCGAAGTAATTGACCTATTCCTATATTTATAGTGGATTGCGGTTATCAGTAGTAACTAGTGGGCCCCGTGTGATGCACGGGTTAGTGTCAAAGATGACTCTTTTTTAGGTAAAAAGGTCTATCAAGAAAGGGTCCACAGCGAAAATTCATTCAACTAAATGCTCCCAATTACAATCCATCCACAAAGAATAAAAAAAAAGGAAATCAGGTGGAAAAGACCAAACAACAAGATGAGTGAGCAAAAGAAAGCTCGTTTGATTAGCAGAACGAGCAACCCACTCGACCGAGTCAATGAGGGAGACTAGACAAAATGTGTCTAGAATCTGCAATAAAGTGTCTGATCTTCCAAAGAGGAGTATCAGGGTTCAACAGACATCTAACAATGAGGGGAGAGTCTCCCTCTAAAATAAAATGTGAGAGGCCTAACTCTTGAGCAAACAAGAGGGCCGATAATGCCGCTTGAGCTTCTAACTCCACAGGTTCACCAACAGTCAAATTAATAGTCCTTGCAAAGCAAAAGGCTCCAGCAGAGTCCCTGAGAATACAGCCAGTTCCTCCAATGACAAGTTACAAGCCCCATCAAAATTCATTTTGAGAACAAAATCTGGAGTTTTTTTTCAAATATTTCTTCTATCTACAAAAGTATTGAATGTTGGAAGTTGGAACAGGTACAATGTATTTCCTTAGTGTATCCAAATGTTTTCATATTTTTTGTTTGTATTCATGCATTTTCAAAGTGTATCTATATCTATATTTGAATTGTCTGATATGATATACAATACCAATACTTTGAACCTTGGCCATATGTGGAAGTGTAAATCAGGTTGTGCTACATGCGGTTCCGGCACAACCCGACATGATTTGAGCCAGCCTAGACAAGCCTAGCACGACAGATTGCGAGCCATGCAAGGCACGACACGATCATATGGGCCATGCCGGGTCAGGGGTTTTAGGTCCATGGGCTAGCACAACATGACCGAGCAGACCGTGCCGCCTATGGCCCGCAGCCCGACCTAGCATGACCCATATATATATATGTATATATAATATGTATATAATATATATATTATTTCATTTTATTATTGCATATATAAACAATTTTATACATCAAAATTCATATAAAATAAAATTTTAAGATCTTTTTTAATTTATGTCAAAATTTTCATTATTTTTTTCAAAATTTTTAAAAAGCATGCCTTGGCCCGACCCGTGGTCTAGCTCAGCTTGCGGCACAACATGGGCCCAGACAGACTTGGGCCGTGGGCTGTGTCAGGCTGACCCCCCAAAGTATCCCAGGGGAGGGAAGCATGGTCCAGCTATGCCAGCATGCGGATCGTTTTGTGTCAACCCAGCATGGCCCGATTTACACCTCTAGCCATATGTCTAGCCAAATAGCTAGTGCCACATTTACTACTACAACTAAAGTCACTCCTACATTTTATGCAAATAGTTATTTTTCTCCTTCCCTCAATAGTTTTTATATTAATCATATTCTAGACTTCAATAGTCTTTCTCTTACCACCTGTAACACTAGTAGTAGTAGGGGTGGCTTCATTAGCAATAGTACCATTGGCACTCATAAATAATGCCACCATTCTGTGATTTGACGTCATTGAAGAAAAGGTTGTAGAGAAAGGGATTTTGAGAAGAACCAACCATTTAAAAAAATTTTAAATATTAAAACCCTAAAAAAATCAAAATTAATTATCATTTACTTGATTCGTTGGTATAGAATCCCAACTTAACTTTAACTTATGAAGTTTCTCTCCCAAATTACTAACTTGAAATACTTGAGCATGCTTTTTTTTGTTGAAATTTAAATAAAGTTGAAAATTAAGGAGTAGGGAGTAATAGACTAAAAGAGTATGATAAAGAGTTTGAGAGTGTATAAGAGAATATGTGAGTATACATGCGCATGAGAATTGGTGTGATGCTAATGAGGGAGGGTAAGGGTATTTCTAAGGATTGAAATATCGATAAGACACACTTAATACGGGGTATATTGGTGCTTAGACATACGGGATATACTACGACCAAGGATGTATCCCTTGAGTCATGTGCATTGGGTTGATATAATCCTATATCAGTGTGCATCGCATTGTATCGGTTCGATACATACTAATACGAGCCAATACATGTCGATACCATGTCTCACATACTACGTCTCTCTATTGAAAAAAACATTCGAATTTTGATTCAGACCCAAGCCAATCTTATACCCTTAATATATATATATATATATCCACGAACTCCAATTAAAATTAGGGTAAATTTCCTCAACTATCCCTAAGGTTTAGGAAATTGATTAACTGTACTCTTATTGTTTCAGTATTGTCATAAATCACCCCTACAGAACTAGCCTAAAGTACAATTAATCGACCAACCATTAACCAGCCTCTTGCCACCATCACGAACAGTTAAGTCCTCTCCACACTCACTCCACATCCTACATTTGCTAGGAGATCATATCGTAGTTGGTGGCGATGAGATTCCAAAAGCCTGAGCTCGTCTCTGAAGCAAATCCAGTTCAGACGATTCAATAGGGAAAAGATTATGGTGGTAGATTCTAACAGTATACCAAGAAGCAACAGGCGATGAGATTCCAACAGCCTGAGCTCGTCTCTGAAGCAAATCCAGTACCAAAAGAAGAACGATAGTCAATGGAAAGTGGTGTGGAAGCTCTTGAGGCTGCCCTTCCCACCCAGAACCGGGGAGATCATATTGGTGGCTTCTTGACTTAGGGAGCGACCTAATCTCCGTTCACCATGTATAGAATGAGCCCTAGACCATCGGTTAGCTGGGAGCTACCCTTGAATTTTCAAACCTAACTGTGTCTCCAAATCAGATTGGGAGGTGTTGTTCGGATTACTAATCGGTAAAGAAGAAAAGGAGAAGGAGGTTTTTTAGGGTTGGACATATTAGGACCGGAGACTACCGGAGAAGTGGAAGCCGGAGCCAGCGGGGGAAGAGATAAGCAGCTGAAGGCAGAATGCATGAGCATCTTCTTTTTTGAACAACTTGCATCGACCATCTCTCTCTCTCTTTGTCTCTACCTATCTCTCTATCTTCTTCTTTTGGGCTATGTAATTAGCTTGGAAACAGAGCACCGCGAGGAGCATTGAATTGTTCTTCGATCAAGGTTCAAAGTAAGGAAATGCAAGGTGTATCGAAAAGACAATTTTAAGAGTCGTATCAGGATACGTTTTATATACATATGGATACAGATGAAAAATCAATATATGCATAAATATGTTAGGAAATTCAAATAAATCATAAAAAATATATAATTAACAATACTTACAAGTTTTATATGATTGTAAATAAGTCATTTAAATGTAAAAATACCATAATTTAATGTTTATACAAAATGTGACATATTGAGATAGAATTAGTAAATATTAAAAAATGATGGAATAACTAAAATGTGAATGTATATACAACAAATTTATAATAACCAATATAAATATCTTAATATTTATTAGTATATAAATTTTAATAATTAATTTCATCTTTTATTAATAAGCACCACTAAGAAAAGAGAAAATTGGCTTAAAACAAAAAATACATATAATTATAACAAACAAATTAGAGTGGTTTAGTGGTGAAATTATAAGCATTAAAATCTAGTGACTAGGGTTGAAGTCTTGCTATTGTTAATATTTGTAGTTTTTAGTTTTTATACTAACAAAACGAAATTAGTGAGAGAGAGAATCATTAATTAATAGAATTAATGAGATAATTGTAATTAGGCACTAAAATTTAAATTTAAATTTGCCTTAACTATAGGAGTAATTAACTAATTAATGAAGAAGTTAGACTTAAGTATAGGAGTAACAAACGACATTAATGAGAGAGATTTGATATTAAATATAAATTAATAAAATTAATGGAACAAAGGAAAACCTTGGCTTCAACCGCCACTACATGAAGCTCCCCATCACCCTTCCAAAGATATTTGCTTTGGGTTACTTGTTTCATCACCTTGAGTTCTTATAACAGAAGTCTGATAATGACTTGTTCATAAGTCCGGAAGGTGCCTTTACTTTGAATCTCTCCCATCAACTGTACTCAGTGAGTTTCTGGGAAGATTTTAGAAGAGAAGAGTCCATTTTTACTTAGGCTAGCATCAGGCCCTACTGGATGTACAAGTTTGATTGAAAGCCGAGGAATTTCTTGCTGGAATCAGAGTCATGGAAACAACGAATGTCACTTGGGTGGGTGATCTTGGTTGGGACTTGGAAGAAGTAAGGGGGAGAGATGGTGTGGACTTTTGGGGATTATAGAACGGGCAACAACGACAAATGCCAACAAAATGTTCTTCAGCTAATTTTTTTGTCTATGGATCATCGAGAACAAGAAGAAAAAAGGGTAGTTCTTAGGGCGAAAGGCAGTTCTTTGGCTCGGCCGTAGTGAAAGACTAGGAGTGGAACAGTTGTGTCGCTGGCCACCGCCAGGGAGTGGTTCGTTGTAGATGTCGCTGGCTACGTTCGTCAAGCAAAGAACCGTTGTGCCGGTAGTATCATCCCCTGTTCCATCATCCACATAATCTCCCTGCCTCCGCCCTCCCCTATTCCACTGTCCCACAACTAATTGTAAAGCATAACTTAGTCTTCCTCCTTAATGTCTTCAGTCTGTAATCTAGTGCGTCGGAGTAAAGCGATGTTGTCCCTACTCCACTGTTCACCACCCTTGTCTTGATCACATCCACTGGGTTTGGTGCTGATGTAGGGTGATTTGGCCCGACCTCGTAGCATGGGGACACGTGGACATGGCCTAGCATAAGTGACAACTCAGCGTGACAGCCTGGTCACTACTCGGCGCAACGAGCTCGCCGAGGCCCGGCCAAACAACTCGGCGGGTGTGGCAGCTCGTCGAGAAGCAAGGCCCAACTCACCCCGAAACCTGAGGATGGAGCACCCCGAGCTCCCCCATGCGAAGGGACCCGAGCTCCTCCTGAGACTCGAGCTATCCTTTCCTAAGAAGGAAGCACCCCAACTTTTGGCTAAGTGTCCCGAGGGAGAAACACCTCGAGATAGCACCATCGAGACTCCTGCTCGTACTTACTTAAAGCTCGCCTCCAGTGTGGGCACCTCGGTGTACCTCAGCGCCTCGGTGCAAGGAAAACCTGCCCCAGGTGGTTCGGTGCACGGTAGCTCGGCAGACTGCAGGGAGATCTGCCTGACATTCGTGCCTGCCTGACATCCGTACCTGCCGGATCCGGTGGCAGTGCTCGGATCCCTTGCTAGGCGGCGTTTTGCCTGCCGTCGCTGAAAGGCATGGCACGTCTGACGAGTCCGTGCCCTGCAGTAGTGGCCTGTAATAGCAGCCTGCACCTGCCACCTCTACCCTATAAGTAATGGCTAGGGCAGTGATGGTTACGCCTTATGTGACCGAGCTCCGATATAAAAGGACCCTGACCCTCACAAAGAAAATGTATTGAAGCTTAAGCACTTTCAGCACTCCTACTCTCTGTTCTTCCTTTGAGATTTCTCCAGTTCTAACTTAGCCATCGGAGTGTTCCCACCGGGAGAGCTCCCCGGGAACCCTTCACCTTCTTCCTCTCAGGTGCCGCCCGTCCCAACTAGAAGCCAAATCACAGCCAGGTAGGAGTGCCCAGATTATGCAGCATCAGGTGCCACTGTGACCACAAACCCGGCCATGAAATAGTAATTTAGTATTGTTGTTGTGTTAAATATAGGGTCAAAATAGTAATTTAATATTTGGCACCCTTTCTTAACGTAAGGGTAAAAATGATTCTTCGTGTGTCTCCATTTGGATTTGACAATGGTGACAATTGTCAGAAATAGGGGTATAGTTAGTTAATTTTCTAAACCTTAGGGGCAGTTTAAGAAATTTGTCATTAAAATTAAGAATAGTATTTAAAATTAATATGCTATAAACTAATGAAATAAATAATCTATTAAATCCACATTTACAACAAAAATTTGATTTTTAATCTCAATAAATTTATATAAATGATATTAATAATAAAGTAATTTTTTAATACTTAAAATTTATAAATTTGTACATGATAAGTATCTTAAATTTTTATAAATTATTATTTAATTTATATTAAATAACAATATATTTATTATTTATAAAAAATTATGTTTAAAAGTATTTGAGAATATAATGTTAAATTGAATTTATCAAATCCACGAATCTATAATGAAATAATTATTTTAGTATTAAAATTATGAATTTGCATATGATATGTATCTTATAAATTTTAACAATGTTGATAACATATTTATTATTTACAAAAATAAAAATATGATTCACCAAAAAATTCGGAATTTAATATTTAGTTGTTTTTTGTTAATGTTAAAAAGTAAAATAACATAACAACTTAAATAATGTGGGTATGCATGTGTGCACATGTGCCTTGAACTCTTGATTGATGCATTATCAATAAAATTGTATAACATCTATACATCTCGATATATTAATTGTAATATATTTCTTCATACATATCAATAAAATATACATTTCCTATATATGTATACATAATTGATTATTACATTGATATTAAATTTAATGTTATTAATGTAATTTATGGAGTGTGTTTGTATTTCTAGTGTATTTAAGTATTTCTAAATTTTTTGTATGTATCTATGCGTTTCCAAAGTGTATCTGTATCCAAGTTGTCCAATATGATATTTGATACCGATACTTTGATCATTGGACATTTAGAAAAGTTGAAAATAAATTAATTAATTAATCAAAATACCCTTAAAACTAGTTGTTTATGGTTGTTAGGAAGGGTATATTGGTTTTTCACGAAGTTAATTATTATCGAGGGGGCATTTAAATCATCTTTTGCCCCAAACCAAAATACACAATTACCCCCCCCCCCCCCAAAATTAATCGTTTATAACTATTGGGAGGTATTTGTATAAAAAAGCCCAAAAGTAAAAAATAGCCATCCTAACGACTATACTGTCCAAGCGGCCCGGTGCATGGCAACTTCTTGCTGTTAGTAGTGGCAATTGGGCAGGTTGGGTTGGGTTTGGTTTGGGTTGAGCTTCAACCCAACCCATTTAACCTGCCAACCCATTAATGACCCAGTTATATAAAATTAAAAGGATTGGGTTCAACCCAAACCCCCTTGTCCCAATCCAATCCGCCCAAACCATTTATCTTTATGTACTTAAAGTAAAAACTCCCTTTTGACAAATAAGTTGGTCATAGCTTGGTGGTCATTGAAGCTATTGTTTACACAAGTGGTGAAGGTTTAAATCACATTACATGCATATTAATTTTACACAAGTGGTGGTCATGGAAGTTATTGCCTTATTGTCATGGAAGCTATTGTTTACACCAAGGTGATAGGGTTTATTAATTTATGTCAATTTGGGTGAATTATGTTGATTCAAATCCAAACTAATTTTAATCAATAATTAATATAAAATTAATGCATTGATTATAAATTATTTCACTCATATGAAGAAAATTAAAAAAAAAGGCTAAAAAATTCACACTTGTGCCATTAGTGGTTAATCCAATGGTTATTCATAACCCAACCCATTTAAATTGACCCAATGAGTGATCAACCCATTTCCAACCTGCCAAGTAAATAGACGGGTTGGGTGGACTAAATACTAGGTGAGTTGAGTGGGTTCAACGGGTTGGGTGAGAAATTGCCCCACCCCTACCTACCAGAGCGCCTTGGGCCCAATTACTATAGTGACCAGGTAGTGCTAGCCCGTATTGCCACGACCCACTTTACAACTCTAAGTAGAGTTGGGATAAGGATTGGATTGGATGACGGTGATGATGAAATTGTAGGCTTGTAGCATTACTCATCTATGATGTACAATGTCTTTGCTCGCTTTTTAGCCACGAGACTGAGACCAATCCTCTGACAAATTCTTTGTATTATCAGCTCAGTGGTTATTGGCTCCTAACCCTTTTTTCAATACATAAATTTCATTGCAATCTTTGTTTTTTACTCAGCTTACTAATGAAGAAGCATATGAATTAGGCTGTATGACATGGATGATTTGATAATATGTAGAATTTGTTTTTACAACTGGGATCTTGGCATTGATATCATGGTTGAAGAAACTATGTGACATCACTACCTCTTAAGTTAGTTTTTGCGTTCCCTGGCAGGCTGGCACCTTTAGTGTCACCGAAGTGCTTCGGGTTACGGTCTCAGATCGAAATTTGCTTCCAGCAATGAATGAACATCAAGAAGTGAAGACACCTTGAAATCTGGTTTTAGATCAACAGCATCAAACTTGGGAGAATCATACTTCCCTGTTTCGTCAAGCAAGCATGTAAAAGCTCCTGCTCGTTTCCCACAAGCTACCTGCAAGTTAGAAAGCATTGTACGTCAATCTAGTGATAATCCAATCTGTTGGATATGGCTTTTCAACTTTGCATCAAAGCTAAGATAAAACATTTACTAACTATGCACTTTAAACGGCAATTGGCAAAGATAAGAGCAAATAAAATTCTTCATTAGGAACCATAGATGTCAATTCATGCTACCAGCTTAATAATTTGAACGTATTTGGGAACCACAGTACCCTCAAATTTACTTGGTTTACAAAGATTGTCTAATGGCCATTACTTGGTCCAATGGTAAAATCTAAGGCTGACGAGTGTGAAATTATGGGGTTTTTGTCTGACACCAGCAACTTTGTGCGAAAAAAAAAGCCAAAGGTTAGGACCATACCCAGTCTACCCCTCCCAAGACCCCAAAATAGCTAGGGACCAACATTGGGTAGTGGCCTTTGATAAAGATTAGGCATGTATGCACACACATACAGTAAGAGTAGATGTTACATGAAAAGTTCTAGGATAGCCAAATTATTCTTGATGCCATCTGAACCTTTCACAGTATCTGGAGTAATTATAAGTATTACAAAAGTTACAACTTTCTCTTAGAAAGGCAAAGTTAAAGAAAGAGAGTGAAAGGTTTTTGCAGTGGTTGAATGTGTCTCATTTGTAAAATATATACTATGACAAATTTATTTCTTCTCACATCTTTGATCCCTCTCATATTTAATGAATAAACTCTTCCTGCAAAAAAGGGTGATTTAAGCAATAACAGATTTGCAAAACAACCAATCCTCTTTCCTCAGAAGCATTTCTTTCTATTTTAGCCATGCTAACTCTCCTTTTTTGGATCATTAATGAGATAAAGGCATTCATTAAATGAATATAAATTAGGAGCACAGTAGACCTTTCTAGTCAAGAGATGAGAGAAAGGATAAAACACAAAAATTATGACTGAATACAAAATTTTCTTTACATGACTATTGCAGTAAGCCCATCTCCTTTCAATCAAATCCCTGGCTAGAGTGCACAAGTTTTGTTAATCTACAAATCCAACAAGATGTATCCAGTAGCCACCCTCCAGTCACGGCTAACTTCCTTTCCTAGCCTTTTCAAGAAGAGACAACACTCTTCTCTTTTCTTATCCAACCTTCTCCAAGATACAACGTTCCTTTTCCTGGACATCCTTTCAAATAGGCAAGTTTTCTCTTCATTACTTTCATATGAGAAGATCAAGGCTTACACATATATTGGCTGACCACACTCACAACATATGATATATCAGGTCTAGTTAGACACAAGTAGAGAAGGCGACTGACAAGTCTTTGATACACATCTTTGTTAGGAAGGATATCTCCATCATCAACACCCAGTTTATGATTGGGACCAATTGGAATTTCAGCAGGTTTACAATCCAATTTTCCTACCTCCTAAAGTAAATCAATGACATATTTCCTCTAAGAAATATAAATGCCCATTTTTGACCTTATGACCTCAATCCCTAGGAAATACCGAAGATTTCCAAGATCCTTAATTTCAAATTCAGTAGCAAAAAAAGACTTCAATTTGGCAATTCCTGAGATGTCACCCCCTATGATAACAATATCATCAACGCATACTATCAACATAGTCACCTTTCCATTTACTCTCCTGATAAACAACGTATGGTCAGCTTGAGATTGTGAGAAGCCAATTTTCAAGATTGTTTTTCTAAATTTGTCAAACCAAGCTCTAAGGGACTGTTTAAGGCCATAAAGGCATTTCTTTAAATGGAAAACCTTTCCTTCACTTGTAGGGATGTTCACCCCTGGAGGAAGTTCCATGTAAACTTATTCCTGAATGTTTCCATTAAGGAAGGCATTCTTAACATCCATTTGATACAAGGGCCAATAATAGTGGACAACAAGAAACATTGGTTACTAGATCAAAGGTTTCCTGGTAATCAATACCATAAGACTGAGGATACTCTTTTGCCACAAGTCAAGTTTTATACCTTTCAATTGACCAATCAGCTTATGCTTCATTGTGTAAACCCACTTACATCCAATAAGAACTTTACCTTTTGTGAAAGAAACAATTTCCCATGTCTAGTTCTTTTCAAGGGCCTCCATTTCTTGGTTCATAGCATCCTTCCAATGAAGGAACTGCATTGCCTCAATAACACTGCAAGGGATAAAAACAGAAGCAATGGAAGAGATATAGGCACAATAAGAGGGTGATAAGGTATCATAAGAGACATAATTTGAGATAGGATATTTAGTACCTATCCTTTTTGCTTTATGAACTGCAATAGGGAGGTTAAGGTTAGAATTCACATTAGGAGGCTCAACACAAGCATAAAAAACAGGAAGAGGTTCATAATCCATATTACTTGAGTCTAGAAAGTCAGATTGTAATGGACACTCAATGTTTAGAGTCATCCTCTTTTTCCGTCTAACAAACCATTGGTGCCAATGGCCAAGGAATAAGAGGTGGCAAAGGAGGAGGCACAAGAGGAGCACCACCACAAGGAGGAGGAGAAAATGAAGGATTGACGGTATTAGTTGTAACCGGTATAGGAATAAGCATACAAAAATGAGTCCAATCTTCACTGACATTCTCCCCCTAAAGAGGAGGACAAGGTTAGAAAAAGGGAGTAGGCTCAAAGAATGTGACATCTTTGGATACATATCTTTTTCCATAACAAGGGCCATAACAATACCCCTTTTGGACCAAAGAATATCCCAAGATACACTTGGTAGACTTTGGATTAAATTTCAACCTAGAGGACACATGTCATGGACAAAGTAGACACACCCAAAGACCTTAAGAGGGAGATGGAAGGCAACCTCTTCAAGAAAAAGAAGCTAATGAGGAGAACTAGAGATGAAAGGTCTGTGAGGGAAATCTGTTAATAAGATATACAGCTGTTTGGGTAGCATACCCCCAAAATTGAGTTGGGACACATGTCTATTTTTACTTTCTAATATCCCATTTTGTTAAGAAGTATGAGGGAGAGAGTTACAAGGGCAAGCAAACTAACTGCAAGGAATATCTCTCTATAGATGGAAGAAAATATGTAATAGAAAGCAAGGTAAACTCTAAGGGTCTTTCATATCACTGAGTGAGTATTTTTGGTAAAGGAAAGAAGTAGATTGTTTGCTTCCCAGAGGGAAGGCAAAGTCAAGGGTGGAAGGAGGTAAGTGGGGCTTTGGGAGAAATACTGCAAGGTAAGATTGCAAAACAAGAAGGAAAAATAGAGGAGGAAACAACTAACTTCTCTACAAGTTAAGATAAAATTGACAAGTAGGAATTTCTCATAGTGGAGAATAGTGCAGGGAGACAAAGAATAGGAGTGAATCTAAAGAAAAAGGACTGGGAAAAGAAAGTTATAGTTGTAGCTAGCTCCTGGGTAAAAGATTGGAAGGTAGTTGCAGATTCGTTAATAGTAAGGTTGAAGCTTGATGATGCGCAATCCGGTCAGTCTTAGCTGTCAACGACCTTGCCTCTGAACTGAGTAGCAGGGAACCTGAAACGGAGAAGATGAGGAAGCTCCGGGGGGAACCCGGTGTAAAGGCTCCGAAGCTCAAGTTAGAATCTTCCAAAGGCAAGATAAAACCAGATAGCGCAAAGTTTGCATACCTCTTCTTTGGGGGGTGGAGAGCCTTTTATAGCCACCTCGCGCACTCACTCCTAGACTTCTGTCAGGTCGGGTATGATTACTTCCGTGCTTCTGCCAGTTCGGGTGTCATCACCTCTGCTGGGGCAGAATCGTCACTTTTTCTTGCAAATCTAAACTAGCCAGACATGTTGTATCACTTCTTACTAGCATGAGAAGGTTGAACAGCTTTATCAACAGTTTTGAGTTGAAAGAGGTTCCTTTGTTGCATGGTCTTTTCACTTGGTCCAAACTCCAAGAGAACCCTACATGCCCTAGGTTGGATAGGTTCTTATTCACAACAGATTGGGAGGAGCACTAGGGGGCTGCTATTAATTCTAGAACATTGCCTAGGGTGACATTAGATCATTGGCCTATTACCTTAGCGAGAGAGGATCCCGGTACTAGAGGGTCCACACCTTTCATATTTGAGAACATGTAGCTGTCTCGCCTTGGATTTATTAAGTTGGTGAAAAGTTGGTGGAATGACAGCAACCCAAGGGCTAATTGGGAGGGCATGAAATTTCACTAGAAGTTGAAGGAGCTAAAAAGGAAGATTAAGGAATGGAATATACTACAATTTGGAAGGACTGAAGAGAGGAAACAGGTAGTGATCAATTAGATTGAGGAGTTGGATGCCAAAGAAAGGGAGGTAATTTTGAAGTGAGAGACAAACAAGAAAGATGGGAGCTAAGGAAGAAGTTAGAAGACATCCTATTCAAAGAGGAAGTCAGCTGGAGGCAAAAGTCTAAACACAAGTGGGTGAAAGATGGTGATAGAAACACTGAACTTTTTCATGCAATGGCCAACGGTAGAAGGAAAATTTTGATTTATAAGTTGGAGGTTGATGGGATGTCATTAACTCAGCAAGATGAGATTGCTAAGGCTCATGTGGAGCACTTTAAATCTTTGTTTAGAAGGCCCTTAAATCAGAGAATCTGGGTAGAAGGGTTAGATTGGCTGAAATTGTCTAAGGAGAAGAAGAGGCGGCTTGAAAGGAAGTTTGAGATGGAGGAAATAAGGAAAGTAGTTTTTTCAATGGATAGATCTAAAGCATCAGGACCAGATGGATTTACCAATGGATTTTACCAAGACTGTTGGGAGATACTAAAGAAGGATATCCTTAAAGTGTTCAATGAATTTTTCTAGAGGGGAGTGATAAATTCGGGGCTGAACTCAACTTTTATTGCTTTGGTTCCAAAGAAAGTGGGAGCAAGTCATCCAAGAGACTTTAAATCCATCAGTTTGGTTAACAACTTGTATAAAGTCATAAAGTCATTGTGAAGGTCTTGTCTAGAAGAACTAAATAGGTGCTTCCGAAGCTAATCTCACAAAATCAAGGGGCATTTCTGGGGAATAAATAGATTGTGGATCAAATTATAATTGCCAAT